GAAGTCAAAAGTAGCATGCGCCTTTGCTAAAGAAATGAAGATTTGCAACAAACCATTTTAAAAGTTATTTTTATATGTTTTTTTAATATACAAATTATCAAAAGGAAAGTCATACCTGAAGACCAAAATCTCCAAGACAAATTATTGAACCAGTGTCCATGACACCTGAAGTGACTGCAGATCACTTCCCCACATGGCACCTTTTCCTCTTCTCTCTCACCTCCTCCTCCTCTTGTTCCTCCTCCTCCTCTTTCTCCTCTTCCCTCTTTTCCTTCTTCTTCTTCTTTTTCTTCTCTCTCTCTCTACTTATCACTTTTTCCCTCTCTTCCCTGCCCATCTTTTCTTTGTATTTGATGTTTCTTACACTTCTTATCCCGTTGTCACCCTGGCTCATCGCTGATTCTCAAGATGAATGAGAAGACCAGAGCCGTTTCCAAACTTTAGCCTCTCTGAAGTTAGACTGGAAAGGCACTAAATTGCTTCACAATTCTGACTTAATAGTCTGTCTCTTAGTTATAATTTCCCATAGATACTTTGAAGAATGATGCAAAGTTTCTGATGCCTTGAATGCATTTCTTCTTCTCCTTATGCCTCAAAAAGTCATTGTTTTTCTTCTTAAAAATTACAAAAGAAATAGTTTCTTATGCATCTTTAAACACAATGGAATACAGAGTTCTAAGAAGGCATCTTGAGGCTTGATATTTCTGTGACTTAGCATGATATTAATGTATTTATTGTCAGCTTAAATTCTGCAACCATTGCCCCCAAAAATGGAAAAAGCCTGTAAAAAATTATCCACAAAATTATATTCATATAAAACTCTTACTGACCTTAATCTGAATCTATTTGCCACTTCATTCTAACATTTTTTCAATAAGTACATATTTATTTATATATTTACTTGTTTATCATGTTCTCATTTTTGAGAGCCTGCAATGTGCTATAAAACCCTCCCTTTTTGTTCGTTTATTGTGGTATAATTTATGTACAGTAAAATTCACCCTTTCAAAATGTATAGTTCTATGAAGTTTGACAAATATGTAAAGTCATGTAACCACCACTATAATCAAAATATAGAGTGGCTCACTCCTGTAATCCTAGCACTCATAGAAGCTAAGGCGGAAGGATCCCTTGAGGTCATGAGTTCAAGACCAGCTCTCAGCAAGAGCGATACCCCCATCTCTACTAAAAATAGAAAGAAATTAGCCAAACAACTAAAAATAGAAAAAATTAACCCGGCATAGTGGCTCATGCCTGTAGTCCCAGCTACTTGGGAGGCTGAGGCAGGAGGATCACTTGAGCCCAGGAGTTTGAGGTTGCTGTGAGCTAGGCACGCTAGCCCAGGCAATAGAGTAAGACTGTGTCTCAAAGAAAAAAAAAAAGAAAGAAAGAAAGAATCATGTGCCTATTACAGATGGGGAGCTGGCTGGGTGCTGACAGGGACTCTGTCCTTGATCAAATGCTAGTCAGGCTTCTCTGAACCCTCTTCTCCACTGGAGCCTCTGCCTTATCCTCGCTCAACCTACCTATAGCCCAGTTTTAGCAAGAATCCCACTAACTCAGTTTATCGAGAATCTCCCCTTCTCAAGAGGTATCTGATCATCCTGGCCTGCCTTCAGCAAGAATCCTGTTAATTGAGTTTAGCCACAATCCTTCTTACCTTTGACGTCTCCTCTTAGTAATTTTCCGTCCACTGACCCCACCCCACCCCCAAGTCTGCTCTCTGGCCATAAATCCCTAGCTGTCTTTACTGTGTTTGGAGTTGAGCCCAATCTGTCTTTTCTTTTGCAATAATCTTGAAACCTATTGCAATCCTCCTAAATGAAGTTTTCCTTACTGTTTTAAGAAGTCTCAGAATAATGTTTTTCTTCAAGAATACCTAGGGGTTGGAGTGGAGGTAGGGACGGGAAAGGTATAAAAATAAGTAACAAGATGTCCTGGCCTCATGGGCCTTCATACTATAAAATGGAATTGGGGCTGGAAGAAAGGAGTGACCAGCTCCACAGGGGCTGGGGCTGAAGTCAAGAAAGCATTACAGAGGAAGTTGTATCATGAAATATCATGAACAGGGAGTAGTTGGGCTTTAAATGTAGTAATGAGGAGAGGGGAAGAACTCCAGAAAGGCACCAAAGGCTGGGGCAACAGAGAAATGGAGGAAATGAAACATGAGACATGCTGGGGAGAGAGACCAATTCTCAGAGGGCTTTGAGGGGAAAGGGGGATGGAGACGTGACTTTTACATCTCAGGGAAGTCACTCTGATTGCCACGCTAATTAACCTAAGGAACACAGAAAAGCAGAAGGAAGAGGGTTTGATGAGTCCAAGGAGTACAAGCAGGAAAGCCTGGGTTAGCAGAACTTCTGGAAAGTTCTAAGGAAAGAACATTAAGCAACAAATAACTGGCAGTTTAATTTCTGGAATCTGTGTGATTTTACCAAGCTTACTGATTTACACACACATACTCAATTCTCCAGAGTACTTTAAATTCCCTTTACAGGCAAAAATATAATCAAAGGCAAATGGCAAATCTGGGAAATACATTGGCAAAACATGTTCTAAATCTAAATCTACAAAGAGCACCTAAAGATCAATAAGGAAACATTAACAATATAATAGAAAATTGGACAAAAAGAGGTGAAAAGAAGTAGGAAGGAGGAAAGGAAGGGAGGAAGGAAACTTTTAAGCACATGAAAAACATTCAGTCTTACAATAAAAGGCATTAGAATAAACCATTTTCACCTTCAAACAAAGCCACGAAACTCATCAATATTTTTCATTTGTGAGAAACTGAGGAAAAGCCAGTGCTCTCATGTTGGAGGGAGTGTAATTTGACACAAGCTCTTTGGTGTTATATGTTTTCTTCAGTGTTGAAAGTGGCAATGTTTATAGTGTTCTGGTAGTGTGTACAGCTAGTGTTACAGCCCTTGTTACAGCTCTTATGCGTTTGACCGGGGAAAGAACCAAGTGGCACACGAAGAGTTGGAGAACAGCCTTTATTCTTTTTCTACAGCAGACTCAGTATACCTAGCGTTACAGCTCTATTCCTGGCTTCCGGTGTTCTCTCGATGTTCTCCCCCTCCCTGCCCTTCTGCCCCTGCTTTTATACCCTTGGTAGGGCTCAAGAAGCGTCCAATCAACTACAAGCTTTAACATCCAATCAGCAACAAGCTTTAACATCCAATCGACAGTGGGATTCGAAAATTACCCAATCAGGATCACGCAAGCAGGGTGGCCAGAAACAGGCCGAGGCACGTGGGCCTGGGGCATTCCCTCAGGCAGGGTCCGGCAGCAAGCTGGGGTCGGGGTGGCTAGGCGCCCCACCGCAGGTGTCCGTGGTGGCTGGGCGCTGTGGGGCCTGGCCCGAGCAGCGTGCCTCTAACTGGCCACTGCAGCCCTGGCCCCCGGAGATGCGGAACTACGGGGAGGCGGCAATCGGCCACATCCCGGCACCCGACGTTTTCCGCATCAATAGAAATAACAAATACATGCCCAAGAGTGAATTTTCTAAGACAAAAAGGCCATCCTCTGCCTGCTCGGGTTGGCACTCTGTTCTGTCCCTGACCAGCGCTGTAGCCCCGGGCAATTACTGAACCATAACTTCTCTCTGCTTCCTCTTCCTCACCTGCAAAATGGGGTAGATAGTAACCGAGTCATCACCATCACTGAGTCCGCCGAGACCGCACGTCCCACATAAGTGCCTACTCAAGATTTTTCTATTATTATTTACAGAGTCGCCTGTCTAAAACCAGTGGATGAGGAAATACACGACAGCATTGTCCCTGAGACTAGATACGATTTAATTGTTCATCCAGAGGCACAGACTAAAGAACTGTGATCTTTTGAAACACACGAAGTGAAAGGATGAGTGAAGACTAATGAAACAGGAAGGTTTTCAGAATGTTGTTGGGGAGATGAATGGGAGCCCTGGTGTGCTAGGCTATGCCACCTCTTGTACGAAAAGCTCAAAGCCGCTTATAAAGTAAATGTACGTCTGTACCGGTGAGTGCATAGAATATTTCCGGAGGGTCCCAAAAGAAACTCTTTTAACAGCTGAAAAAGGTGGGAGGCAGACATCACTGCAACCAAGCGCGGGATTGTGAATTATTCGTCTTGTGCATGAAATCAGTTTTTCAAAAAGTAATTTTAATTCGAATAAAAGAGACGAGTGGAGTTGGAGTTAATCTACAAACAAGGGGCAGCCTTCGGGATGCCCTTCAATTTGGCGGCGGCAACTTCTAAGGCGGGCCCAGGCGGGTTTAGGACGAGGCAGCAGCTGCACGCAGGGGCCGCGCGCAGTCACCGGGAGATGCGCGGGCCCGCGGGCTGGAGAGCGCAGGCGCGGCGGCGCGCGACGCCTGGAGCCGGGCGGAGCCGCCTGCACCTCCCGAGAGGCGCCACACGGGGGCAGCCTCGGAGGCTGAGACCGCGCGGAGCGCTAAACGGAACCGGGTTGACGCGGTCCGGCGGGGCGCGCCTCAGACCCCGGCGAAAACGTTGCGCCTGCAGCTTCACGGAGCAGGACTCAAGATCTAGCACCCTAAAGGGAAACCGTAAAACAAAAAGCCAAGCACCTCGTGGTTCCACTGGGGCTCGAACCCAGGACCTTCTGCGTGTAAAGCAGACGTGATAACCGCTACACTATGGAACCACACATGGGAAAGTGGCTCCAGGATAGGTAATTACAGTCAATAGCACTGTAACATTGGGAAATGAGATTAAGATTTTATATGTGATGATTGCTCAGGAACAAAAACTTTCAAAGGGAATTCAGATTGTCCTAGTGCTAAGAGGAGCGGGACAGCAGAGACGCGGCTGAAACGGCTGCGTCTGCCAGCCTCCTGAAACAAAACCCAAAATCAAGCTCCCAAAATGTAACACTAACTCTGACAAAAAAAATGAAGCCACCCATGGTTCCACTGGGGCTCGAACCCAGGACCTTCTGCGTGTAAAGCAGACGTGATAACCGCTACACTATGGAACCACACGTGAGCCACTTGCCTCAGGGTTCAGTAATTGCACATAAAGAATTTTAATGATGTGAAAGGGCATTACGATTTGCTGTTCGGCAATCGTACAGAGGAAGAGAAACTTTCGAAAGAATTTCAGACTTTCTGGTGCAACTCCCATCCACGTTTTTCGTCGGCCACAGGGCCCCACAGCTCCTCCGAAAGAAAGCGTCCTAATCCCGGGCGTGCGTCTTTTCTTCCCTAATGAATGGAGCACAGAAGGGCCACGCGTGCGAGGCTCTGTGGCGCAATGGATAGCGCATTGGACTTCTAGACAGCTGGAGGCATTCAAAGGTTGTGGGTTCGAGTCCCACCAGAGTCGCTTTTCTTTCGTTATAGGACAGTGGGGGGAGAATGGAAAATTGAAGAGGCAGATCAAACAAACAAACAAAAAAGCCTTACCTTTTAAAATTTCCAGTCTGACACGCCTATCTTGAAAAGGAAGGAAACTAATTGCAGTTCCTTGTTATGTCTTGTCGCCTGATGGTTTCAGGAATCCGGCTCCTCCACCCTTTTGAGTCACTTTCACGTGGCTCCAGTTTCTGGTGGTGTGATGAAGAAATTAGAGATGATAAAAGGTACTAAGCTTTTTCCATATTATTCTTTTACAACAGGAATAAAACACAATTTTTAAATTGTTGTAAAACTTTTTAAAGTCGCTCAGTATTGTCGGAGTTGTTCAAAACCAAAAAGGTGACCAGTCAGGTACCAGAATGGCCGAGTGGTTAAGGCGTTGGACTTAAGATCCAATGGATTTATATCCGCGTGGGTTCGAACCCCACTTCTGGTAAAGACGAGCTGCTTTTCCCGAGTAAAACAAAGTTTTTCTTTCCAAATTCCTAGTTGTCAATTTTGCAATTTGAGGCGTTCAAATGACAGTATCCAACACAGCCTGAGAGAGTCGTTAAGTGACAATAACGTCTCAACCTAAAAGTTAATGTCTTTTTGCAGACACAGAAACTGTAGGGACACTTTCAGCATTGATGGTTTGGAAGGTACAAAGAAAACATCTGTGTGAACTTCACCTGGGGCAGGGGGAGAGCAGAGAGCGAGAGATAACATTGTCCTGTGAAAACGTTCACTCTTAGTCAACAGTTATTTCTTGAGATCCTACATACCAAGTACGGTTTTAAAGGCCATGGCTGTGGGGCTGCAGTTTTGGGGGTTTGTTTGTCTTCAAAGCAAAATATAAAATAACAACAAAAAAGGCAAGGTCCTTACCAACAGGTTACTGTCCAGTAACACTTACATGACAAAGTGACAGGAGGAAGATATGGTTTATAAAAAGTTGACAAATAAATAAATAGAATTTCATATGGTCATAAGCACTTGAGAGAAAAAACAAGGCAGCACAAAAGTGACATAGAACTTTTTCAGGACAAACTTACTCCATTTGATTATGAAAATCATCACCTTGACTGGAATGTTCTTCCTCTCTATCAAACTTCCAAAGACCAATTCTGCCCCTCCTCCTCCACTAAAAATCTTCCTGAGCAACGACCTCATTCAACTATCCATTCACTGAAGGACAGTTTTAGAGAGCTTTGTAGTTAGGCACTCACCGAGGCTCTGGGAATATAGAGAATTCCTGACCTCCCAGCGGAAACACTCTAGGATGAAAGACAGACCCATTAAACAGGTGCTTAAGGTAGGTTGTGATGGGCACAGCAAAAGGGACAGGCTCAGGGCCCTCAGTCCCTAACTCCATCTGGAGAAGACCAAGCAGGGAACCTTGGGGTGACTCCTGAGCCCTGTCTGTAAGGATCAGCCAGAACTTCCCAAACCAAAGGAGATGGGAAAGTGGGAAGAGGGTGGCATTTCTAGATGGGGGGAGGGGAGCAGGAAAGAAAGCCCTGTGGACTAGTCAATGAAATACAAACAGCTCTAGTTCTGTGTGTTAAACAGACCTGTGTCACACCATGAACACTTGATAACAGTTATACAGTGTTTGGTGCCTGTCAGTCTGGTCTGTCTTAGGAGAACAGGAAACAGGTCTCCATGCTCTCTGTCATTCAAAGCTGTACTCAGCAGCCATTGTGTCTCTGACACTGTTGTAAGGAGTGGAGGTTCAAAGGTTTGAAGAGGAATAGGCCAAAGGCTCATAATTCCCCTTGGGGATTGACCTCATGGCACAGACAGCCCCTTTCTAGGGAGTCTAGCTTTGGTTTTCTTGGGTGAACAGAGACTTCCCATCTGATGCTTAGGGATCCAAGTTTTCATTTGTGGAAACTGTACCTAATACATTTGTGATTTTTTCAGTACCAACAACTCTTCTCCAAAACAATGAGACATGGAGGGACCCTCACTGAGGAGAAAGTTGGTGAGTTTTCTTCTTCTTTCTTCTCCTTCTCCTTCTTGGTGAGTTTTCTTCTTTCTTCTTCTTCTTCCTCTTCCTCTTCTTTCTCCTCCTCCTCCTTCCTCTTCTTCCTCCTCTTCCTTGTTCTTCCTCCTCCTCCTTCTTCTTCTTTCTCCTATTTCTTCCTCCTCCCCCCTTCCTCCTCCTCCTCCTTCCTCTTCTTCCTTGTTCTTCCTCCTCCTCCTTCTTCTTCCTCCTTCCCCCCTTTCCCCCTCCTCCTCCACCTCCTTCTTCTCTTCTGGGTTACAAAAAGTTTGTGCCTTAACCTTTCTCTGCTGGATCCTTAGAAAACAGCATCAAGGAAGCTTTGATCTGAGGCGCTACCAGAAGCATGGAATCTTTTCACATATCACATTTTTTTCATTTATTTCATTACAAAACTAATACATGCTTTTTAACCATCAAATAATACAGATATACATAAGGAAAATAATGAGAGCTTTCTCTCATACTCTTCATTGTCATTCCACAAAAAGATTGTGTTCTACTCTTACAGATCTACTGTACATATGTAAACAACATATATATAACTATACATATAAAATTAAAGGATATGTGTACACATGTTCATATACATAAATTGTTTAGTTCTTTCACAAACGGGTATTACAGCATACATATTGTTTGGCACACTATGTCCTCTTTGCTTGACATAACATGGATATCTTTCCATATGATTATTTTTTAATCTTTGCCTATTGCTCTCCTGATATGTTTCTCCATAAAGGAATGCAAACCTCATCGTCCCCCCACAGTGTCTGTGAACGCCAAGGAGAGCTACAACGGGCGTGAGGCTCCCTTTCAAGGGATCTTACCCGATGCCTTAAGGAAGGAGGACATGGCAAAGAAGTCACGAAGGAACATACGAAGGAACAGGACGCATTACAGGATTGACTAATTAGGGACGGCCGGGACACAGCTGCCAAGGTAACAGGGCTCCCTAAAAAGGTCAAATCCAGCCTGCAGCTTGCCCGATCAAAATCTTTCAATGGAAGCTTCAGGAAAATGGTCAGACGCCCCCGCGAAGTAAACGACGTCACTTCCCATTTGCCATTCCCTCCGCTCGGCGTTCTCTGTCCGAGTGTTCGGGGCCATCCGAAGCTCAGTTCAGGCGCCGCCACTCCGGGAAACTGTGCTGGCTGACTTCGGGCGCCCGCCGAGTCCTCCTCCCGGGTGCGCAAAAGCGCTGGCCCCACCTCGCAGCGCCCGCCTGGGGGCTTCTGTGTTGCGCGACTCCCGGCCCCAGCGAGGGCCGGGACGACGGCTGCAGCCCCCCCGGGCGCGCCGCGTTCCTGAGGCGCGGTTCGCGCTCAAACATGTCTGCGGCACCGATCACCGCGACCCGCCCGCAGGACGCCCCGGGCTTCCTCGGAGACCAGGACTGGGATTAGAAATCCCGCCGCTCGCTTCCCCAGAGGCCCGCCCGGGGAGCTCTAGATCTGGGCAATTCTTCGCGGGAAGTTCCCTTCAGGGCGCCGGGCAGGTCAGGCAGGCGGTTATTTTTCGTCTCAGTTCCGAAGGTTCGCCTCTCAGGGAATCAGCAAGAAGACTCGCGACTTTAAAGCCCAGGGGGAAGAATGCGGCCACGTGGCCTATTTTACTGCCGATAGGCAAGGGGAAGGGCTGTTGTTCAGAGCCCGGATAGCTCAGTCGGTAGAGCATCAGACTTTTAATCTGAGGGTCCAGGGTTCAAGTCCCTGTTCGGGCGGAGGTCGTTTTAAATTCCAAAACAAATTGAGGTATACTGTGTGTCCCGGCCAAGGCTGAGCAAGTGGGAGCTCCTGCATAAACCTCTGCTAGGGTTCCATCCTTAGGAGAGTTAGATAACCCAAAAGTAGGGAAAACAAGACTCTCTAGTGATTTGGGTCCGAAAAATGAATGATGAGGAAAGTGCTGAGTAACTTTCTCTTCCAACCGGAGGCCTTAGTCTTCCAACCTTTGTTGCTTTGTGTTCCGATATTTTCCCCTTGAAACTAGCTTGCATTACTTTTATAGTCAAAACATCAGTAAGCACATAACTGAGAAAACTACACACCTGTCCTCAAGAGTCATAATAGTTATATTCTTGGCAGAAACTGTGCAGCTTTTGGCACTGAGGAATGTTTTCAGACACTTTTTATTAAAAGGTCGGTGAGGAAACGGAACTTCCAAGAAATATTTCAGGCAAAGGCACGTGAAGGCGCATAATTCATACGTCTCCAACGAGGCGGGGTCCCTCACCAGATTCCTAGCGGCCTGGTGGGACTCTGACTTGTGAGTCTTGCTGTAAAGACAAATGCTTCTGAAGACTGTCTTCATGTCTGCCGCCGACGAGAAAATTTGCAACCCCAGGGAGGTGACTATACTGGGTATCAAACCCAAGACTTTCCCCCAGTGGAACAGAGGTGTTAACCACCGCAATAAGAAATTTCGCGCCATATGTTGCTACCTAACATCCAATAGTATAAACAGTGACTACGGAACTGGGAACAGATCATTCTCTGTTTTCTGACTTCTTTAAGAGGCTTAAAGTCTTTGCATCCTCATAATGCTTTACTAAATCCTATCGTCTCAGTACGTGCCCACTTAAGAGACAGGGAGAACAGCCGTCTGTGTGTGTACGGTGTAGGTACAATTTTACCTTGAAGGGCTGGAAGTGGACCCCCGTCCCAACAAAAGACTTGCCGAAACCCGGGATCGAACCAGGGACCTTTAGATCTTCAGTCTAACGCTCTCCCAACTGAGCTATTTCGGCTAGGGCACGTGCCCTCCCCGCCCTGTTAGAAGAAATTTAAAAGAAAAAAAAAAAAATCCCGTTTCCTTTCATTTCCACCTTTTTAATTCCTCATTTCACCTTCCAAACTGTATTCTTTTTAACTCTGAGGTTTTGAGGACAATGAGTAAGAAAACTAATTCCTGTCACGTGAGGAAACTCGCGTTCTGCCTTTACTGTCTGCCTCAAGATTTCTGTACCTCTGTCCCGGGTCCTAATAAGAATAAAACCAGCCACTTACTAAGAACTTACTGTGTGCCCAGCACGGATCCACAGGGTCGCATTCAATCCCCACCCCAACGCCTGCCTTGAGTGGATGTGACAATATAATAATTTTTAAATGAAATAACTAATTTGTTCCCAGTCGTTCAGAACTAAACCACATCTGTTGGCTCCAAAACACAAAAGGTCGTGATTGAGACACACTCTGAGCTTTTTGTTTGTCACCTTTTAGCAAAGGCTGAAAACCGTGGCTGGAGAGGGGATGGATGGGAGGAGGGGAAGGAGGAAAGACTAGAAGGGCTAGGTGTTCTCCACCCCTGTCCTCACCCTGGGTGTCCTTCTGGTTCAGTCAGAAAGTGGTTGCAGTAAAGACAGTCCACTTTTCAGGGTTCCCCAAAGTGGATCCGATCAGTTCCCAAGGGACTCCGTCAGGAAGAAAGAGAAAAAATCGAGTGCTTGCCACAGCTCCTTACCTGTTCCTCTGCCTGGAATGCCTTCTGAGCCCCACCATTCAAGAGGTTCCTCAAGAAAGGAGCCTCTTGCCCAACCAGCCCACTTTTTCTTGGATCAGTGATAATTGCTGTCCCTTCAGCACATACCAACCAACCCAAGTCACATGAATAAGATCTTACGCTCTTAGGCATGCTGGGCATATATTTCTTGGAAATGACTCCTTGCCTGTTTCAATGTGTATCTTTTGTTTCATTGCTAGATTGAAAGTGCTTTATTAATTATAATGGTTCCCATGTATTGAATGCTTGCTTTTAGGCTGACTCTACTAAGCACTGTGCATGCATCGTCATCTCATTTAATTATCACAAGTTTACGAGATGGGAGCTATTATTATTTACCCGGTCCCTTCACCGCACAAGAAAAAGTAGTTCACCTTGGTGACCTTACATATGAGCTTTTTGTGTTCACAAGTCAAGTTCCTAAAAACCTCTGCAGGATCCGGTGCTTCCCTTTTTAATTTGAAGTAGGTGGGCGCTAACTTTTTTCGTTTTATCCCATTCCAGTTTCTTGAATGCACTCTCTCCGAATATGCACCCTCCTCCTCCCACCAACACAAGCTGCTGTCTCAACCTCACCTTCTTGCTGTGTTCGGGGTCCTCCCTGTGAAGCGGGGGAGGGGAGTGGGAGGATTTGACATCATTGAGAGAGGGGAGCTGCTCTGCTAGGGGCTTCAGCTCCTAGATATTTATCTCTTCTTTTTTAGAGTGCAGAAAAACTCTTTAGAAGGGCATTAAGGAGGGCTGGGAAGGTGCAGGATCCGAGTCATATTCCTCAGGCACGGAGCGGGAGGGAACCCAAGAGAAAGGTGAGCAGGGGCCGTTCACAGGGGAGCTAAGGGATGCGGCGACTGGGGAGTCCCGGGGGCTCCCTGAAGACGTGTCATTTTCCCATCCTTCACTGTATCAGTAGTTGGGACCCAACAACCCGGCGGTGGCTACAGAAGAAATCTGCCTATTTCAGCCACCACAACGACGGGCTTTAAGTCTCCCGGATGCCTCTGCACAAAGGCCCACAGGTGACCGTGCTCGCGGAGACGACAGGATTCTCCCCAGAGAGAAGTGGGGCTTAATTCCCTTTTTCAAAGGTAGTAAGTTGGTTAACACACACACCTCCCTAAACGGGTTCTCTTTTCTTACTGTGAAAAAAGAACTTCCGCCCGAACAGGGACTTGAACCCTGGACCCTCAGATTAAAAGTCTGATGCTCTACCGACTGAGCTATCCGGGCTCTCGGGAAAAGGGTCCCCTTCGGTGACTGAAAGCTGTGTCATCGTTGGCGCTGGGAACTAATGGGCGTAGCGTGGCGCCGAGCGAGCTCTTGGGCTCCTCCTCTGTGTGACTCGACCTAATTCCAAAGCACAAAGCCGGCAGGGGCGGGGAGGAAGCGAAGTAAGGAATCTGGAGGGAGAGTGATTCGTTTGTTCTTTAGCAGCTGAATACTGATTTGTTCAATGAAGCATGCTCCCCTTTTACTTAGAGACCCCTTGGCAAACCGGAACCTTGAGTTCTGCAAAACTGCTCGGAGGGTGAAGCCGCCTAACTGTCCCCAGCGCTACGCGTTTCTTGCCCCTAAACCCAAAGCACCCAGGTTGGAAGACCACAGTGCAGTGGTTAAAGACCATCAGGCTGTCCCTTCTTTGGAGTAGACATCACTTCGTAATTTTTCCTCGTCCGCATCCCAGGCGCCCACCTCAAAAAGAAGGGCCAAACAGATCAGCTCAAAAGGGATGATCTGAGCCACTGCTCGCCTGCGTTCCAGGCCCCGGACCCCCAGCCCCCCAGCCCCCCGCCTCCCATCCCCCCCAACCAGGCCTCTGCGCACGCGCAGCTCACGCCACCATTCGCGGGCTGACCCCGCTCCTTCTCTGCTCTTCGCCTCCAGAAGCCACTATTTTCATGTCACAGATCCTGCCATGCTCTTAGTCCTCTGGGCCTTTGCATGTGCTGTCTTCCGTCGGTAATTGCAACGTCACCGTCCTTTCATCTCCTTCCCTTTCGTTCTCCCCAAGCACCTGTAGAGAAGGAAAAATAAATTTTCTCCTACCATTCTGAGTTCTCAGTGGGATTCCTTTACCAAAACAAAACAGAACAAAAACTTAAATGCGAGGCATGAAATCATAAAAATTCTAGAAGAAAACCTCTTCTTGCCATCAACATAGGCAAAGAATTTATGACTAAGACCCCAAAGGCAAATTTAGCAACTACAAAAATATTAATAAATAAATGAGACTTAATTAAATGTAAAAGCTTCTGCACAGCAGAGGAAATAATTAACGGAGTGAATAGACAATCTACAGAATGGAAGAAAATATTCACGAGCTATACATGCTAAAGAGGACTAATATCCAGAATCTACAAAGAACTCAAATCAGCAAGAAAAAACAAATCAAAGAGTGAGCAGAAGACATGAACAGAAGTTTTTCAAAAGAAAATAGACAAATAGCCAGCAAATATGAAAAATGCACAATATCACTAATCATCAGGGAAATGTAAATTAATACTACAATGAGATACCACCTTACCCCTGTCATTATGGCCATTATTAAAAAGTCAAAAAACAATAGAGGCTGGCATGGATGCAGAGAGAAAGGAACTCGAATACACTGTTGGTTGGACTGGGAATTAGTACAACCTCTATGGAAAATAGTATGGAGATTCCTTAAAGAAATAAAGGTAGACCTACCATTCAATCCAGCAATCCCACTGCTGGGTATTTACCCAAAGGATAAGACGTCATTTTATTTAAAAAGGCACCTGAACTTGAATGTTTATTACAGCACAATTCACAACTGCAAAGATGTGGAATCAACCTAAGAGCCTATCAATTCACGAATGGATGAAGAAAATGTCATATACATACGCACACACACACACAAAAAAAAAACACAATACATGGAGTACTACTCAGCCATAAAGAGGAATGAAATAATGTCTTTTGCAGCAACTTGGATGGAACTAGAAATCTTTATCCTAAGTGAAGTTTCTCAGGAATGGAAAACCAAACACCATGTGTTCTCACTAATAAGTAGAAGCTAAACAATGGGTACACAAAGGCACAAAGAGATATAAAGGATATTGGAAACCAAGAAGGGGGAAGAATGGGGGAGGGGGAGGGATAAAATTTACCTATTGGGTACAATGAACACTATTCTGGTGGCAAGCATACCAAAAGCCCTGACTTAAGCATTATATTTGGTATCCTTTTTATCCATGTAACAGATATATTTGTATCCTCTTAATATTTTGAAATAAAAAACCAGAATAACAGGAGAAAAACAAACAGCAATATATTAACATGTATTTCATATGCATGTGGGAGATACCCAGGGAAGTAATAATTCCAAAGAAACGGTTTAGAACTGCAATCTATATAGCATTTTCAACAAAGAACAATAAATTTTTGGAGAAGTGACAAGATAAAGGAAAAGGACCTTGTGGCAGGGGCAGCAAAGTGTAGGAAAGCAAATATATGGGAAATTAATGATAGATAAAAGGTAGTCAGTAAAGTATGTTATATAGATTCCTCTGGTGCTCTCTCCAGATTGATAAGAGCCTAAAGTTGTCTTAGGTGATCGACTTTAGAAGAAAAGAGGGACA